GCGACGCCTGTGCCCAGAAGTTTAAAGGTGTTACAACTGAACATCGACGGATGGAGAGGTAAAATCACCAGTCTTAAAGAGTTTCTTGACGAGAAGAAGTTTGATGTAGCGGTGTTGCATGAGACGAAGATGGATGATGAGTTCAACTGTGGACCCCAATGCCAACTGGTGGAAAATTCACAGACCAGAACGCACGGTACACCTCGCGCAGAACGAGCAACCTCAAGGAGGTTTGGTAGTGCTTGTCAGACCCGGTGTCCAGTCTCGCCGGTTAGGCAGTCTGAATCTTCCAACAGGAGCTGTTTTGGAGTCTTTGGGAATTTCAGTGGAAACCAAGCAGGGTTGGATGGATCTCTGGAACATGTACCGGCCTCCAGCTACTGGCGGAAACGACTCGAGAGATGCTGCGTTGTATCTGAATCAGTGGCCAAGAGAGAAGAGTTCTGGTATCTGTGCGGATATCAATGCGCATGGTTCCTGGGATGCGAACAGAGATTCTGATCAGTTGGGAAAGATATAGATGATTGGCTGGTTGACAACAACATGGCTCATGTGAACAATGGCATTCATACACGCGTTCGACAGCTGGGTCAAGCGATAGTGGAGACTGCACCCGACATCTCCATTATGCAGTTCTGTGGCGAATAGTTGTTCTTGACAAGTTTTGGAGACAATTGGTTCCGACCACTTGTCGATTCAACTCGTCATTGGCTCCTCAGGAATGAAGGCAGAAGAGTCGCGGCGCCAGTTCCATTTTCGCAAGACAGACTGGTATAAGTACATCAGTGTATGTCACAGTGGTTTGCCAGAGTGGATTGAAGATCTTTCGTTAGAAAAGAAATACAAGGCTCTGATCGAGACAATGCAGAAGGCGGCAAAAAATCTACTCCTTTCACCAAGGTTGGCACCAAGAGGAGACCTTGGTGGTCTAGTCTCTTTGAGTGCGCGAAAAATTCGATGAAAGAAGCCTTCAGTCTTTTAAGAAGCACTTGAGCAGAGAATGCTGAAATGTACAAGAACGCGAAGAAGATGTTTGCCGATACGATCAGAGATGAAAGACGTCGCAGCCTGCTTGAATTTGTGGACACCTTGTCCCCGTCAACTCCGAGCACCAAGGTCTGGCGCAGGCTTCAGAGCATGGATGGAAGAAAGAAGTTGGGTTTGCCAGATAACCCAGTGTGTGCGGGAGACAAGATTGCTATCACTGACAAGTCGAAATCGACACTTGCAGTGACAACGTATGCAGCTGTAAGCAAGGTTCTGGTCACGAGAGAGGACTACAAGGAGGCTTACCTTGCCACGAGAGAAGGTCTTAAAGGGACTTCAGAAGGGGAACTGGGAGAGAATTTCACTCAAGGGGAGCTGGCAAGAGCTTTGCTTAAGATAAAGAACGGAGCTGCTGGTCCCGATGGAGTGGTTCCTGAGATGATCAAGCATTTACCCGAGAATTCCATCATGTTTCTGCTACGGATTTTTAACGAGAGTTTACGCCAAGGGAAAGTTCTTGATTATTGGAAAAGTGCAGTCATAGAGCCAATCCTGAAAAACGGTAAACCGCCTTCAGAGATCAAAAGTTTCAGGACGTTCTCGTTGCCGTGTCTTGCCAAATTCCTAGAGTCAACGATAGAAGCTCCGGTCAGACATTGGGCAGAGAGTATTCACCTGATTCCGGATTGTTAAGCAGGATTTTGCGTCAAAAGATACACAACAGATGTTCTCGTTAACCTGAGCCAGGAGGCTTTCGACAACCTTCAGCAGAAGAAGCGAACAGTAATCACTGCAGTAGACTTCAAAGGAGCCTTTGACATAAATTGGCGTGGAGGTCTTCTCAGAGATTTGGCGAGAGCTGGTCTTCGCCCCTCTTGCCTGAGATGGATTAAGTCGTTTCTGAGTGACAGGAGAGCCTGCGTCAGATGGAAGTTCTTTCTCCTCTAATAAAGTGTTCCAGCAGGGAGTCCCTCAAGGCTCACCGTTGTCAGCTATGCCTTTGTCTTGCCACGGCCAGTCTGCCTACCAGGATTGCACAGAAAGCTCCCGACACGAAAAACGCCCAGTTTGCAGATGATTACTCACTCTACAACGAAGCTTTCACTCCAGATTGCGCCACAGCTAGCATGCAACTTGACAGCTACTTGATTGCGCCACAGCTAGCATGCATCTTGACAGCGTCAGTTCATGGGCTAGTGATCACTACATGCTCATTGAACCTTCCAAGACAGAGGGGTTAGTCATCAGCCTGGACCCGAGAGGAACGGAGGAACGACAGGCAAAGCACAACCACTTCTACAACTGGAGAATACAGGTTCCGTTCAAAAAGCATATAAAGATTCTTGGCGTCAATATCGATACACAGTTAACGTTTACCGAACATACTAACCTCATGGCGAAGATGGGGAAAAGAACTCAGCTGCTTTCTAGTTTGTCAGGGAAGAATTGGGGTCTTACTACGCTTATGTCAGGCCAGGAGCACTGTACGCCAGTGGAGTCTGGAGTTCTTTTCTTTCAGACTCAAATTGGAACAAGCTGGAGGTCTGCAACAATAGAGCAGCAAGAAATATTAGTGGTGTACAAGCAACTTCCAATGCAGTTGCAACTCGTACAGAAGCCAGCATCTCTACACTCAAAAGTTCAGTGATGAATAAGCCGCCATTTTGTACATCAACTTTCTCCATTTCCTGACAGATGTTCATCTGCGTCTTCTGACAGATGACGGCCCGCCTCAGAGACTAAAAGCGAGAGGAGATGGCAGATTCCGTCCAGATTGGAGAGTCAACGCTTGAAAGAAGATCCAAAATAAACCTGATAATCTCAACACTAAAGAGTACATTTTGACGACAAGAGAAGACTTTACATTAGAAGAGTACCGACAAAAACATTGAAGAAGAGCACATGCACCGACGAATTTGTGATGGCTAGGCGTTAGAACATTCAACCAACAGAACAGAAGAAGAAATTCTGCTTCATAGACTCCAGGTAAACCGATGTTACAAACTAGAAAAAACTGAGCATCTTTTTGGACGGACTGAATCGCCACAATAGTGACCAAGATGAAGACACGGAGCATTTCATTCTGAAATGCAGTGATTGGGCAGAAGTAAGAAGAACCACTGTGGGCTCACTCCACAGTATCACAGTACTTCAAACAAATCCCGAACAAGTCTTACAGTTTATTGGTCGAACAGGACGTCTTCGTCCCTCAAATCAGTTATGAACGAGCTCCAAAAAACAAACAAACAAACAGAAAAAACTGACTCGTTTTCGAAAAAATTCAAATTTCGAACTTTAAAAAAACGAATGCCCTTAAAGCTCTATGATTTTCAAGAACAAATTATGACGCTGCTTTTCGGATAAAACTAACCCAATTTGAGAAAACTGGATCAAACGCTTAATTTTTTTTATATCGCTGGGAAATCTGATATTAAATTCAATTTCAAAATTAGAAGCCGATCACGTCTATCGCGACATTTTGCCGTTCGATAGTTATGTTTGCTTTTCTTTTAGCAATGGAAAAAAAGTGAACTTAAACAGAAATAAACAATCAAACCTCCAAAAAATCAAAACTGAGCGTGAACAAATTTTATAATTTTTTCCTGAAAAAACAAAAAAAACACCAAGACCTACGTTCATTACCATTAATAATAAAATTTGAGTCTTTTAAAAAAGTAACTGGATCAATTAATCAATTAAATTGCCTCAATATACTTAAGAATGATCTTCAAGCCGGTATAAATTGAAAACTCTTTTCCGTTATAAATCGTCAATTTCTTTGCCAAAGGGGCCTTTTGGTATATTTAGCGACAGTCATTTTTGGCTGACCAACCCTTTCAAGGGTGCAAATGGTACCATGATATATTAAATTGGAAGGTGGTCAAGTTTTTGGCTGATCGCTACACGATCAAAAACGGCTTTTTGTTTGAAAATATCAGCGGCGCAGAAAAACTACCAAATATGGTCATTCTAGGGTTTGAAATGGCTGGCCTAAAAAATGATTGTTTTCAAAACGTTTCGCTTAATTATCACACATTGCTTTTCGAAAATTGAACTAATCGTGACATTATCAAGGGTGCAAAGTGACATTTTCAAGGGTGCAAAGTACAGCAGATTTAATTACTGCTAATTGTAATTGCCGAACACAGGCAACCGACAGTCGGAAAAACGTCAAAAATTTACGTAGACAGAAAAAAAATGATATTTTTATTTTCAATAATAGTGTTGTAAAAAGAATACAGTATCAAAGCTGCGCTTCGCAAACACTAGCCAGAAAAAGACAAAAAACAACTGTATTTTGTCAAAAATAAAAAGTAGAAAAAAGCCTCGAAGTAGTAAAATTTTTGCTGTATCGGTTTCGAACTTGCGACCTCGAGATTTGGAGCCTCACGTTCTCGCATCTGTGCCACGGGCTATTGAAAATTTTCTAACATCAGCCACCAATGGAAAAAGTTGAAAGTTTAACAGCCAACACTGGAAAAAACTAATGTAAAATCCACTTGCAAATCAACGTTTTATCGCGAAATTGACTTTTTCCTAAAGGAAAAGCATAAATTACCTTCCATTCAGCAAACAAATTTGAATTAACACTTGCAAAACGGAAGAATAACACAAGAACTAAGCAGAAAATTGCTATTTAGTTGAAAAAAAAGATTGGACATTTTTTGAACAAAAAAGGCGTTTTTCATGGCCGGGATCCCGCAACTTTGGATCAATTCTGATGTATATTATGCCAGAAATTTTCGTGAACATAAAGTTGGCATAAAATTCCATAAAACGTCACTTTTTTAATTTCAGAAAGACAAGTTTATTTGCGCTGAAATAGTTTTGTTTACTTTGATTTTGAGCTAATTTAGTAGCACATGCAGAGTACTGACTCATATCTGCTCATTTCGGAGCATAGGAGACAATCGAAACTCAAAATAACACAAGTAGTTATACCACATAAAATAGTTTCACAAACATCAATTGCTTTCAATTGATCTAAAAGAGGAAGGTGATTCCTTACTAACATTTGATTCTGCCATAGGACACTTTTCCGTCCGGTGACATTGCTAGTTCGATATTCAAGTTGGTGTTCAGCACTATAACTGCCCATCCTCTCTGTTTCGCAGCTTCGATGTATGGAATTTGACTTCCCTCTCTGAGTCCTTGGTTCATGATGACCTTACGGGACCATTGACCAGCTCGGACAAATCCTGCTCCGTGGATTAGCACCAGAAGGGTAGTTTCGTTAGAGTAGAAGTCGGAAGACGCAAATACGAAACTTCTTGCATCTGTTTCTGCAGCATCTAAACCACACGACCAGCCAAATTTACCATTTCCTATTTTGCTAAATTCTCATTACTTGCAAAATACAAATAGAAATTTCGTATTTGACAGCGGAATACACATTTGATGCAATTAAATTGAGAACTTGAAGGTTTTTATAATAGACCACTGTTCAGCCTCTGTTGTTCAACCTCTGACTATACCATTGTTATTTGATAAACTTATTAAATAGTTTCAGAGATTGCTAATGGAATTGAACCCCAAAATGAACAAAGCTTTACTGGCGATCAATGCAAACAACTGTCTTGACGCATCAACAAAACAGGTAATTTCGGATGTTATTGGAGAAAGTATGATGGAAGATGAACGTATCAAGCAACTCGAATCTGAGATGAGTCAAACCCACATCAAGGGTAATCAACTGGAATAATATGAATCCAAGGATAGTCTGATTTTCCAAAACCTGCCATTGGGCCAACATGGTTCATACTTGCAAGATACACTAGCGTTCATTAAAAACGTTCTACAAGTAAGTGTCGAAGCGCGTCATTTGAAGGCTTGTCATCCACTCGGACGAGGTACTTTCGCAAACCCACCAGAGATAGTGGTGAAGTTCTTATATAACGAACAAAAAGACCGCATTTCGACCAGGAAGAGATTACTTAAGAATTTTGTGAATCCCAATAACCATAGACCAGTATTTATTCACGAGAGGCTGAGCAAATACGAAGTACAGTTGAAAAAATTACGTGAAGAAAACGATGTCGCTGTAACAACCAGTAATTCAGCAGCCATGATCCAGATCACCAAAAATGCAAACGAAATGGTACAATGCATAAACAAAGTGAAAATATAGATGAAAAATAATCCAACTTGGACGAATGCATCAAAATTTTGTTGAAATATCAAGAAACAATCTTTCTTCTTATCGTGACGTATAATCCGCCAAGATCTGATAAGTTCATTTTCCTTGAGAACCTGGAGAGAGAATTGAATAATCTAGCCTCAAAGTCATATCCCGTGATAATGTGCGGCGATTTCAACATTGACTTCATGAAAAATATCTCTTTCAGCGAAATATCTAGATATAATTGAATCTAGTGGTTTGGACCAGCTTATAAGAGAAGCTACTAGATTTGGTAGTCAAAGTGATACCTTGCTTGATCACATTTTTACCAGAAACGTGAATGCAGTTAAAACCTCAGTGAAAATTAATCAAAAATGCTCAGATCGTTGTCCAATTTTACTCACAATTTCGGCAATGGAGAGAAGCTCCAATTAATCAAGTTTAGATTTTCGTGATGCATCATTTTTAAAATTAACCATACAAATTGAAAAATTTAATTTCCTTTCAAGAGAAGCTCAAAAAAACTGAATTCGATAACAAATCTGTATCAGATTCGTTCAAAGTGTTTCGGAATATTAACTCTTCAACAATTCTTGAAAAATTTGCACCACTTGTCAAACCAAAAGACTGCTCTGTAGTAATAAAGCCTAAATGCTCGTGGTTTTCAAGTTATATCAAAAAGCTCACATCAAAGTGAAACCAACCTCATCGAACATCGTCGCAAAACCCAAATAACCAAGCAGCGAGATTTCGATTTGAAGAAGTAAAATTGAAAGAGTTGCTCGTAAATGTAAGAAAGACTATCATTATACTAAGTTCAAGTTATGTTTACGTGACTCTAGGTACAAATTATTAAATGAACTAAAAGAAATCAATAACAAATATCAGAAACAAATACCACCTGCGGAAAACTAAAAGCTAATGGTGAAAACACTTCCGTGGACGAGATAGCGTCCGAACTCAATGTTTTTTTCTGCAAATGTGGGCGCTTCATTAGCTGTTAAAATACCAACTGTAAATGGTTGTCATATAGTTAATGAACCAAAATTTTTAAAGCGTTTATCTGAAGTTGATATACCGGAATTGGCTCAAATAATCTCAAACTTGAAAAATAAGTCATCATCATGTACGGATTAAATAAATAATCTAGTAGTCAAGGCAAGTTCATATTCAGTTGTGCCACAACTGATCGTTCTGATTAATACATCGCTCAAAAGTGGTGGGTTTCCTAAAATGCTAAAGAAGCGGTTATTCTGCCATTCTTTAAGTACGTTGCATGTAGATATTTTAACGCTGCATGTACAAGTTAATAGATTTATCGAATCAAAATCGCTTATTTACGTTAACCAATTCGGTTTCCGGAGAAAACAAAGCACAATTGATGCAATAGCTGAAGTAACGGAAAGAGTGGGACCTAAGAAAAAAATTAAACCAATTTCAAGTTTTTCTAAATCTAAAAGAAGCGTTCGATACCCTGGATCACTCGGTTTTATTCAAAAAGCTAGAAATGTACGGAATGTAGGTGGTAATTGTTTGTAAGCTGTCTGGAACATTGAAAGCACATGGTACAAATAGAAAGCTGTCACTCAAGCTGGCTAAAAGATGAATGTGGCGTTCCACAAGGTTCCATTCTCGGGCCTTTGCTTTTTCTGATCTATTTCAACGATCTTCCAAAAGCATGTACTAGTTGTGAAGTTTTTCTTTTTGCGAACAAAACGAATATTACAGGTATCAACTGCTTCATAGAAGGTTTTAATAATTATCTTAGTGCTGTCAGCATTTGGTTTAACGTTATTAACTTTCACTAAACTTGGACAAATTTCATCAAGTGATATTGCATCCAAAAGTGATTCCAGTTCAACTCTAGAAATAAAATCGAGCGATCCTAAGATTTCTAACTCATGCAAGTATTTGAGCGTCCACATAGACTGAAAGTTGATGCTTTTGACCCAAATACTTTGTAAGAACCACATGGAGAAAGCAGTGCGGTATAATTTCAAAAAAGAGACATTATGTTCCTAATCATATACTGTTGAATTATGTCTCAAACTTAATACCTATACTTTAATACTATATAATAAACAAAGTATATATTTATGAACTGCTCAAGTGTGCTTTACGATCAATTGCGGGCCTGCACAGCGAAAGTTCTTGAATAGCCATTTCATATTGGAAGATTCGCCATACCCCACGAGAAGAGCTACCAAAAGCTTAATAAAATTCTTACTTTTAAGATTAAACTGAAACGCTCATCTTTGAGTTATCGTGGTGCATAACTTTTTTACGCTTTGAAAGAGAAAAATGTTATACCTCTAAACAATTGTTTATTTTCTCTTTCTGAAATCCAAACTGTAGCTCATTCAATAAGAGATCTTAATAATTTAAATAATGAAGACCTGACCCGTCTTATTTTTCAGTAAGTCAAAGAGGGATCTATCAAATTGGTCTTGGTCTAATGGATATTAGTATAGTTAAACCCCTGTCCCTATACCATCTTATGGATGCTCTACGGATTTTCAAAATTTCTCAAAAATGAGCTTAAAGGGCTCCCTGGAGAGAGAAACTACGCCCAATTTGGTAATCTTCTTGAAATTCACTCAGAATTTTTAGGTTTCTGCCCTAGGCTTAATTTAATTAAAAGACTTATTAACTTTTATTATAAATTCGTTAGTAACAATGTTCTGATGAAATTGAACTTTATTTTAAAATTTTAAATAAAATTTGATCCGCCAGGTTGCTGACTTAAGATAAGGGCAGCAAAGCAAGTGATCCTCATGGATTTGTGAACTGTCCTCTCTAGTGCAATATGTATAAATTTTGTTCAAATTTATACGATGTTAATCTATACCAGAGAAATAAATTTTTCTTGTTCAACCTGTCCAACACAATTAATCCAAAATATGAGTCTGCTTGAACAATTATTGGTGGCAGAAAAACTGAAACAGAGGGGCAGTTGCACTTCGCGCACAAAAGCGTATATTAAAAAAACCATGAATAAAATTACAAAAATAATAAACCATGAAGAAAATTATGAGAATAAATCATGATAAAATTATAGAAATCAGTTTTTTAAATCCCCCACACATCATGCAAAGTACATTCTGATTTTGTTTCTATCGTCTAGTAACACATTTATGAGACCAATTAGATTCTATCCATTGAAATCGAATCATTGATCACCAGCATCGGTTGTTCTTTAGCGCTGGTTTATCTTGAAAGTAGTACACAAAAATAGTACGACTGAACCTATTTTGCATTCAAGCTACAAAGCGCGCTGACTAAAACTCAATTTCAACTAAAGTTACTGGACTTCTATCGGATCAATTGAGCAATCTCAATCCCCTCCACCATTATCGCGTGGGGGTGGAGATAGCTCAATAGGTACTTGAGACTTGTTTATAACCACTTGAAAGTAGTTTTAGTGATATAAAATCATGAACCAGATTCTCCAACGTATGTGGATTGCCAAAACTTACAATATCGCTCTCAAAAATTAAATTCACAGTGAAAAAAAAAATCAACAAGAATGAGGCACATAAGGCGATTTTTTCTGTCCTAAATGAAAAAAACTATAGCGTACATTTTTAAGGCGCCGTGGAGAACATTTTTTAGTATTCAGATACAAGGCTAGAGTACCAACCCTGGCAACTTGCTTTCCTCGATGAGATGCGATGTTTCATTTAAATTTTTTTCTTAAAATTTTTCTCGATACTCAAATAAAAAGAACTTCAGCCGGTATTTGGATTGCGTGCTATGGACACATCAACCATCTACTTGCGTTTACTGACGTCTTTTTGGAACGTTTTACCGTTTTTGCTTGGGGGGAGATAGCTCAATTGGTCATTACGGGGAGGGGAGATTGCACAATTGATCCCTTCTATCTATTTACATCTGAACAATGATGATTTTTTTTCCAACAAACGAGTTTTTCAGCTACTCACTCTCACTTAACGCATCTAACATCACCAGCATATACCACATCTATAAACTGAACACAGAAAAAACACCTAAATGTGCGAATTATTCTGAAAAGAGAAGACCACCTGGAACAGGGTTAAATCGATCTTTACCTTAGGAATGTACATCAAATTTTCTTACAAAATCTAAATAGAGTGCCGCATTATTTGGTAATCAAACATAAAACAGCATGGCACCTTTTTGATGTGAGGAAAAAATTTGCACAGAGGCGAAGCTGCGCTTTACAAACACTTGCGAGAACACAAAAAAGCAGCTTTATAAAGTGACAAATTAGAAATAAGCCTCGAATTAGAAAAACTTATCGGCTTCAAACCTGCGACCGCAAAAAACCAAAACATGTAAAAATTAAGCAATACAAAAATTTTGCGAGATAATGAGTTGGAAAATTTTTGAAATGGAAATTTTATTTTTGTATTGATAATTAAAGCAAATAGCTTTTATCGGTTCATTTGAAAAATGAGAACTGCATCAACTTTGTAAATTAATTATGAATCGAATGTCAAAGCACATGCTATCAAAACGCTGTAAAGGTGCCCCAAAAATGTTACGAGCACTTGCGACTTAGGTTAGAAAAACAGAATAGGCGTACTATAACACTACCTTACGAAGTTCGCAAGTGAAAATATCGATCTTCAATATCTATCAAAGATTGGAAATCAATTTGAGAAAAACATTAGCTCTTTTCCAGTCCTTCCTTTGATTTTTTCGAAACTCACTTAAAACGACTTTTTCGAGAATTCTATTTAAAATTGCTTTTGATGTTCTAAACAATAATAAAACGGGGCAGCATGAACAAGTGAACAGATTGCGACATTTCACATGCATAATGCCGAAGGAACAATTTTTCAGCAATTATATTTTGTATTTTTGCGAGAAGGATGGGCTACTGGAAAAGAGCCAAAACAAGTCGAGAGTTAAACTGCAGGCGTCAAATCAGATCGGAGACAATTTACTAAGCGCCGAGAAGTCGAGAAAAAATGTCACTAGAAGTTGCGAGGCACGAAATTGCATTTAAAAACTTTTCGGATCTTCAAAGCAAGTTCTGATAGGTACCTTTTAGTAACCGGTTCAAGCAGACTTTGGAAAAGCGCCAATGAGATCAATCGTCAGTTTTTGTAACCAGCGGTGCCGTCACACGTGCGACTTAGCCTGAAAAGATATGAACTCGTGGAACAGGGTTATATCTATCTTTACCTTCAGGAATGTATATCTTTTCTAGTCCACAATCCTCCTGTAGTTTGTTGTAGACTTCCTCTATCATTGCATTTGCCATTGCTTCATATCGCCTCTCATTGTAGAAAGTATTCTTACTGACATTGAATACAAATCCATCTCCATTTCCGTCTCTCAGAACACCCTTGTCATCAAAGTGAAAGCCAAATTCTTCCAGCGTAGTCCCAAACTCTTGTTCTCTGGGAAGCGAAGCATCAACTTTCGACTGATGCTCAGCAGGAGGTGGATTATTTAGTCGTCCTTTATCCGTTTTAAAGGATCGCTTGGTATCTAAACAGAAAATCTGCTTAAAAATTCGTATTATCCGAATAGACAAAGCGCAAAATCGCGCGCACATATAAAAACCTTGATTGACAAAACATTACCACGACAATAACTGTCAAGGGTCATTTTTTCATATTCGTTCTCCAGTCATGTTTCTAGTCAGGGGCGGATTTAACCCCCTGCTGACCCAAAGGGTCCCCCCTTCGATACTTTATAAGAAATTCATTTTTTGCCGACCGACCCTAAAATTTTTCTAAGCGCCTTCGGCGCCAATATATGGCTCTTTGTCACTCCCCCCCCCCCTAACACGACCTTCAATATATTAGTGTAACGAGTAGTTTTACGAGGTTGAGTATGAAGACCAAATACGTTTGTCGTGGCCTTATTAGTCTGTATGTAAATTTTCATAGCAATCGGACAATGTAGTCAACAAATTTACATGTAAAAATTTGCAGGTGGGGGGAAAAGGAAAAAGAGCCCAATATATACTAACTTTGAGGGGGAGCGCGCGCCAAAAAAACGCGATTTTTCTGTCAAAATTTTTCAAAAAGTGCCAAAAAGCGGCTTTTTTTTGGACCTGTTTTTTCATAAATTTGCCTGCGGCGCAGAATATATGGCCAAAACAGGGACTTTTTAGTGCTTTAGAATAGCTCGGATAATCAATTGGGTCGACCTAAAAAAAAAGGTCGTCAAAATTGTCGAAATTTTTTTGAAAATCCGCCCCGCCCCTCCCTCGAAAAAATCCTAGATCCGCCCCTGTTTCTAGTCATTAATAGCCCAACAAAACTCAATCAGAAAAAGGTAGAAACAGTAAAAATCTCCAAACGAAAAAAAAAGATTCCCTTCAAGCTCTTTGAATTTCTAGAAAGATTTATCATTGGCGCTTTTTTGATAGCTTTAACCCAACTTGAGAAAACTGGATCAACAGATAAAGTTTTTATTCCGCTGGAAATCTAAAAATTAAGTCCCACTTTCGAAATTAAAAATCGTTCACGAATTTTTGCTCGATTTGCACGTTCGTATTTGGAGAGTCCTATTTAGGACACTTTCAGCAGATGAATTTCAATTGAACTCAAAAAGTGCCGTATTACTAAGTGCATCAATATTTTAAGACTTTTTCCGGAACAAAAAAAATTAGTAAGACCTATATAAGAGTCTTTACTACGTTCATTAAACTTATACATAAGATGAAACAACTGCATTGCGAACGCTGGTGTGAAAATGACCAATAGGACCGATAATTCTGGCCACAATTTTGTTTGCGACAGAAATTAAAACAAATCAGCGTAGCAGCACAGAACTCTCTTGTCACAGTAATGAATGAAAATACACGCAAAAAAATTTTTTGGAATGGTCATGGGAGCGGGAGCTTATTTTTCAAGAAAAGCTTGTTGCTATCTAAACAAAACAAAAATATACTTCAAAAAAATTATGGCGAGTGGTTTCGTAAAGCTTATCTACTCACTTTCCTGCTGAAAACGAGCCAAGCCCAGTTTTTTTAGACAAAAATTTTGAGTTTCGGCCAATTGGGCTTTAATAATGATACCACTCTTGCTATTTTTTTGATATGATACCACAACCATCTTTCTTTGAGGTAGTTACTTCCACCTAATTTCTAACGTGGTCAGAAAAAATGAAGGAAAGAAAATAACCAAAAATATTGCATGTACTCTTGAGCAGGTGCACAACAACGGTTCTCCCCTATGAGCTGTACAGTTCGTATGTTGGTCCTTTCCCTCGTGGATAAATGATCTTAACTTATCCGTTACCGATCTAGTTGCACAACAATCTGACCACAGCTAAATTTGTAAATAAAAGATTTATAAAAAGATTTTAACCGTTTTTCTTTTTCTTACACACAAGCAAAACAGCTGTCTAAAAATCAAGACTAAATTACGCCTGAAATTAAAATCAATAGAAAGAAACTTAACAAAGCTAGGGATCGACTCCAATACCAGCCACTGCATATTCAAGGTTTCTACAAAGACCAGGCGTGCAGTATCAATTCTAACCAGGCATCCCAGAAGGCTCTTTCACGGAGCGGATATAGTACATGCTACATAGATAACACAGAGAAAGTTTCAAAAAATCTGTTATATCCACGGATTCTGCGTATATCGGTAAGATACGACGTGAGACATATGCTGTGTGAATAGAGTTTAGAAACAAGAAGATTATGTTAGCAACTTAACTTCAATCGGTAAGTTAATGTCTGATTCGAATCTGACCTCGAAATCATGAGAGCGACAGAGACTCATAAATAACTATTGAATATGGCGTTAGGTTAATAGTTACTTGATTAGATCAGACATCTATATGATTACGTTTACATAAGTACGTATGGTGAAGTATTCGAACTATAATCAATCTATGTTACTTGTTTTAGTTGTAATGAGTTCTATTGGATACCTAGTATATCCGTACGGATAACATTCCCCCTTCTTTTTTCTATATGATGTAGTCATCAGATGTTATCTTTCTTCCCTGGTTTGTCCTCTTTGTTCGTTGGATTTTTGGTTTGGGGGGTTTTTTTGGTTATCCTCTTCAATTGTCGTTTGAATTGTCTCTGTATTCGCCTTTATTCGTTTGAGCCCGTGTTTAGTACGGTTTTGTTTTTCACATTCTCTTTGAAATGTCATGGAATTTTTTGTCGGCGAAATTGACTTGAGGATGTTCATTGCGTCGGTGAAGCTGTCGATTAGGGATTTATCTGTTGAAGAAGAGGTTCCCGCTGGTCGGTCGATTACGTATCGTGAGCTAAATTCTCTTTGCGTAGGGGATTATGGCGATTCGGGTCGTGTGGTTGTTCTTGTTGTGTTTAACATGTTATCTTCCGGATCGTTTGTCTTGCGTATGGATTCGTAACCATGTTTGTTTGGAAAGTCGATGGTTTCCTCAATTCTCATTTTTCTGGTGTTCCCTGGTTTGTGCTTATTTCGATGCGTTAAATGTCTGTTGACAATTCGTGAGTGATACTTGTTGCCTGTGGGGTTGTGTCTTTTTCTGCTGTCTGTAGGGGTTGTATTGATATGTTACAAACCGCGGTGTTGGCATTATCAATGTTACTGATCGGGATCAAATTTCCAAATTTAATTGCGAGCGCGCTTGTCCTCGTCCTCGTGGATCTTCGGTTAGGGGTTTCTTGTGGCGGCGTGTTTTTCCTGTCAACTCTTTTGGCTGGGGGCTTCTGTGGTGATTGTGTTTTGTCCTGGACGATCGAATCATCCGATGATAGCGAAATTGACGTGGCGCATTCGAATTGAATGTGTGTGTTGTCTCTGCGTAACACTTTTTCGGGCTGCCCTTTCCTTTGCGACTTGAGATTCTTAAGGGCGTTGATTTTTGTTTGGAAAATTGAGGTGGTTTTTTCGAAGCAGTGGATGTCGTTTTATGCATGCGCTGTGGCCCTAATGTTCTTCGAATTAGCGTTTGTCGGATTATCTCCGCAATGTTCTTGGGTAGCTTACGTTCGCGGCTTAAGGATGTCGATGGTTTCTGCGTCGTTTTCTCTTGTTCCCTGGCGGTTTGATTAGCGGTTGTTTTCAGTGGGCCACTTGAACCAGTTGGTTTCTTCGGGTCAACTCCTGCAGCTGAAATACGGGGTTTAGCTCTTGGTAAATGTTTGTATGCAACGAAATCATTTAGTTGCGCCGGTCTACATTTTCGGTATATTCTAGGGTCCGGTACGAAAGCTAGTCCGTCGTGTCTTATTACTCTCGGTTGCTTTCCATCTTCCCGAACCCACGCAGTGTGCGGGGAGTAATTAATTTTGGGTCTACTGTGTTCTGGGGTCCTTTAAAAAAGATCTTTTAGAAAACCCAGTGGGGCTCTTTCTAGCTTTTGTTTTTCTTGTTTTGTAAGCCAACGTATGGGTTTTCTTGTTCTTATGTCTGCGATATCCTTTTGCAGGTTATCGGCGAGAAAAGATCGTTTAGTTTTTTGTAAGTCATAAGGTATGTTTTTAAGTGGAAGGTGCGAATCTATTGGGAATTTCTTCATCTATGTCTATGTAGATTTTCACCCTCCTGGTTCAAAGGGTATGTCCTCTCCCCTGACCATGGACGTGGTGCATAACCTTAGGTGCCTTGCTAAGTTTGACGCGGATTTCCTCTCGTTACATCTCGGACATATAGTCCATTTCTGTTTGTATACGCGGGGTTGATGGTGTTGTTCATTTGCTTCTTGTTCTGGTACCCGGTTTCCCTTGCAGTTCTGTCTTTTGTGGCGTGCCATGTTTCGGGCCTGTAGGGTTCTGTCGCATCTGCCACATGTCTTGGTTCCATCTTCATTGTTCCTGTCTCCCTCGCATGTCTTCTTGTGGTTTTTTACCGAGTTTTCAGATTTGAAGATAGCTCCGCAGTTGTTGCATGCAAAAGTCACCCTCGCCTCTTTGTGCATCTTTTTGATATGGATTCTCAGGCCGCCCTGGTTTTTGAAATCCCTCTCACATATCTCACGTGTTCGATGTTGCTTGGGGGGTATAGGAGTTCCTTTCTGTCGTTTCACCGTTTTGTCTTTTAGCATTTGACCTTTCCCATTTATTCAGGTGCTCCATTCGTGCTTTCACCGCTCGCCTCCATACTTTTCTGTCCTGAGTCAGTTTGTCTATCTCGTTCACATCCATTCCCGCTTCTCTGATGAGCTTCCGCCAGTAGAGTAGTGTTTTGTCTTTTTTTCCCGGACATTTCGGTAGGGTTTGCAGATCGTTTAGCCACCCTAGACAAGCTGCTTTAGTTAATCTTTTGTCGTCCATTCTCATTACATGTCCTATTCGTTTTAGAGTTCTTCCTTCATTTTCCATCGGATCGTCTTGATGTTCAGTTGGTTTCTGATGTCCTGCATATTCACTCCTTTTTCTTGCATTTCAATTAATGGCGGATTCGACTTTGAGCTCCAGACGTGCCTATAGCACCGGTCAATCCAACTTTGCAAAGACTGTAACTCCGAGTTTTTCCAGGTCCTTACGTTGGCGTCAAACAATAAGCCGCTTTCTACGCAGCATTGTA